GGCATCTCGGTCCTCTTGACTTGTCCCAAGACCTCCTTGTTTTTGAACGCGGCCATTTCCTCCAGCTCAGCCATTCACCAGAAATCCGCATACTTAGAACTCATGGCTTGGCGTCGATTCTTTGGGACCTTGATGTTCTTTGCACAAATCGGTCTGCCATCACGACCCAATATTTTCGTCGCAACAATTACCCATCTGACAAACTCATCGGATCCAGCCGGTCAGCGCGTCTACTGACGTAAGCCTGTGCGACGTTCTTTCATTCGTTCTCCAAGCTGGTTCTTCTCAGCTTCTGACGAGGTGTCGTCTCGCTCCACTCGCTTTCGCAGGCCTTCTGGCAGTACGATCTTCTCAAGCACGGATCGTTCCGTGGCGGTCATTTTCGTCACAGCACCGGCATTGTCATCGTCAGGTGAGTCCTTGCTCCGGCTGTTTTCCGTATGATCCTTGACCTTCGGGCCCTGCTCGTGAGTCGATCCCTGCTCGTCGGTCGGATCGCTTACGTCCTCGCCCTCCTCGGTCGCATCGGCGATCGAACCTTCGTCTGCTGGGTCCACCTCCAATCCAAAATTAGCCGAGACAGACTCGTCATCATCATGACCATCATTTGTCTGGTCACTCATATCCTGGTGATTCTCACCCATCGTCCTAGTTGTCGTGATCTTCGTTCTTCTCATCGACGTCTGCCGACCGATCCTCATCAGCCACGGAGGCTTCGTAGGCAACCGTAGCAAGGATAATAGTCTCTGCGTCCCCCGAATTGTCAAGTACGACGCTCTGGTTAGACTCATGGATGCTTTCCATGTCCACGCCGTCGTCACTCGAGATGCTGTTGTGTCGTCTTGCTTTCCAACTTCTTCGGTCACAAACCATAACCACTCACCATCATCTCGGTTAGCTGAATCGACGTGATGACGGTCGCCGTACATCACGTCCTCAATAACGCGAACCACAGCGACAAACTTGACCGTGTTCTCGCTGGGGATATACACACGTGCGGCAACAGTGTCTATTTTTGAACCCAAGTAGATTGCCGATGATAGCATTGTCGTCACTCTTCGAACGCTCCGGTGTTTTCGGCACCTGGATGTACACGAGCGAGCCAAAGGGCTTCAAGTGGTGCACATCAGCTTTCACGCTGATCACTTACTGGACTGGAATCCCATCGATGGCTCGATCGTACATCATGTTCAAAATCACCACCTTTATCTGTGAGAACGCGTTGCACCGGAAACTTCGCGCTTTCTGCAGGCTCGTGCTCACGTTGGACGATCTTCGTGATCCCACGACCAGCTTGGCGCTACGCCCACAGCACGTAAAGCTGCATGTTCTTGTTCTCACTCTTGTCGGTGAGCGAGATATCGGCTCCATCCATCCATTCTTAGAAGAACCGCGACAAATTGCGACCCGTTTTTCTGTGTCGGGAACATCTAATCAGCAAACACAATCATGTTGGGAGCCGTAACATGGCGATCCAACTTCTGCTGACGTCGCATCTGTCTCTGCTTGCCAATATGGCAAGAATTACTCGTCTTGAGCTGCCTGTTCGTGATCATCATTCCGCGCACGAGTCCACGATCCGCCATGATCGTGAGATACTGAGCATTCGTGTGACCAGTCGGGTCGTGCCA